AAGACGAGGTCTGGAAAGCCCTGGTGGACGCCCAGCCCGATATCGAAGGCGAAGACTCCGATGTGGATGAAGGCTTTGATGACTTTGATGAAGAGGAAATGGCTTCTTTGGACGGATCATCGCCGGCCATGTCTCTGGATGATGATGAGTCGGACGGTGGCGTTTCTATCGAAGGAGAAGACGACTCTGACGGGTTCGTAGAATTCAACGATGAAGACGAGGAGGAGGAAGAGGACAGCAAGAAGGCGGACAATAAGAAGAAATCGGCGAGACGCAAGATGATCAAGGGCCTGCCTACGTTTGCTTCGGTGGATGACTATGCAGAGCTTCTGGCAAATGAGGAGGAAGATTTTTAGACAGAATAAGCTAAAAGCGGCCTTGTGTATATTTTTGAATTCATGAATAAATGCTATAACCAGTCTCCGAAGCCAGGGCCCGACAGAGAGGCCTGGGAGGCTTTTTGTCTGTCCACGAGTACTCGGCGGTGGAAGCGTCACAGCCTTCGCCACCCATCCGTCGTGAATCGAGAACTCCCAGCGCTCCCAGCACTATCATTCATGTTGTTTCTACCGGGCGTTGATATATCAAACAAAAGTATTTCGGTCCTTCAGGCGAGCCCTCGGTTAGCTCCGCGTCCTTGCCACCCATCCTACTCGCGTATCAGAGATAATACTAATCATTACGACATATCATCCTAAAGATGACCGAAAAATTGCCCCGATAAAAGTACTCGGTTACAAATACTACCTGACAATGTGTATATTGGCATGATCACTGCGAGCCGTCTTACCTGATTCTCGTACATGTATACATACATACATATGAATATAAATGCAATAGCTCGCCCGCTATTGAGGCGTTTCTGGAGTGAGCCGGCCGTACTGCTAGGGCAATCCTTGTGCAGACGAGGCTGACGTCTCATGCATGATTGTCGCAGTCAAATATTTACCATGATTTCGTTATATCTCTAAGATTGGTCTCATGTCCGATGCAATAAAACGAGCGAGGCGGGACGGCGAGGAGCACATGATCTAAATTATGCATCCTTGATTCTACCCAGGCGGGGCCCAATAATCCCGAATATCGGCACAAAACGCAACTGATGACTAAATATGAAGGGCAATAGCAGGCTTGCATGGCGGCTGCTGCCTTAAATATCACGACCCTGTGGCCGCCGAGGAGTCGCTTTGCAGAAGGGTGATTGCAAATGTGCTCTACAATTCAAAGCTCAAATTTCTCTTTATTCGTGCAGACGTACTATATCATTGCTTTGACGCAATTCGGCAGAAATGACAGATTCAAACTTTACTGAAGCTTTGTACAACGAGATTGCCGAGTCGTACGAGGAAGCATACACCGACGATCCTGGAATTACTCAGGCATTCGAACGATTGAAAGAATCACATGCTCCTGGCTCCTCAATTTTAGATGTTGGTTGCGGCCCTGGAGGCCCGGCATCGCGCCTCATCGCGGCCGGGTATAACGTCACGGGCATTGATGTGGCCCAGGGAATGATTGACATTTGCCAGAAGTTGCCATCCGGCACTTTCTTGAAGGTGGATATGATGAAATATGAGACAGAGGCTCATTTTGACGGGATTTTATCCCTTTTTAGCCTTTTTCAGGTCTCCTACGCGGCCACCTACTCGATGATCTTCAAAATGGCGTCTTGGCTGCGGCCTGGCGGCACGCTTGTTCTCGCCGTTATTGCAGGGGAAGATTACATTCAGGATGTGTCTCAGCTCTCTAAGCTACGACAAAACCAACACGTTGAAAACGCTGACACCAGCTTTATGGGCCGCCTTGTGCCTTCTACATTGCTCACCGCCAAAGAATGGTTGCGAATCGTGCAAGAAGCTGGCTTCGTGGTGCAGTCTGTCGACCGTCACGATTTTGAAGTAGCTGGTTTCGACTCCACTGAGAAGCACTTATTCATTACAGCAAAGAGAACTCATTTGGAACCTCTTTTTGGACCGTTCCCTCTACCCGCGGTCAAAAGAGGCCCATGTGTGCTGAGCGAGAGCGCGTGGAGAGCCTTTGCCGAGCGTCTGACACGCCACGACCTAGACTATGTCCTAGAGGCTGTCAAAGGCAACAAAGAAGTGCTCGATGTCGGAAGTGGTCATGGAGGTGAGTATATCATTCATTTTGAATAAAGGATTCTGACCACGCACCGTACAGAACTTCCGCTTTCCATTGCTAAGAAGGTTGGTAAAGCCTACGCTGTTGAACCTAACAGCGATCGCAACGGTCTACTGGTAAAGAATTGCTCCGAAGCTCCAGTTCAGGTATACAAAGGAACAGCAGAGAATCTCCCGTTTGAAGACAACAAGTTTGATGCCGCCGTGGCTGTCTTCATCCTGGACTACGTGGACGATCTTGAGCGATCTCTCCGAGAGATGGCTCGAGTGGTTGATCCTGCTGCCCCAAACGCACGCATCGTCATTGTCCAAGGCACACCTGATAATGAGGCAATCAATTTCATCAATAGAGCATGTGCGCATATTGCCGAAGAGAGCATGGCCCAGGGAGAATCGGCAGTTAGCCACCAGGGCCTGCTTCTCGCGACCGCCGCACGCGTGTTTACCCAGCATGGCTTTGGTGACATCCAAGTCCGCCGCGTGCCTACGGATTGCGTCTGCAGCTTCCCTGAGGCGGACCTCAGTACTCGCTGCAAGGTTGCGGCAAATATACTGACAGATATCTGGTACAAGGATCACCAGAGGGTCGAGGACATGAGGGCAGCCTTTGAGCCAATACTGGAGGAGCATTTCTCTAGCTGCCCATGGAAAGTGGGCGATCAAGCCGTGCTACTGATGGCGAAGCCCACAGTCGAGCCCTCGGCAGTTCGCATGAAAGTTTGAAGGGCCATCTTTTCGTTAATATTCTCGCGAGCGTCTCAGTCAAACAAATCTCGGCATGGCGGGTGCGGCCTGGTGTGAGCTGCCATGTACTATATGCAGAGAAAGCAAAGCAACAAGCGTGTTCACCTGTAGCTGACTACAACTATGAAGTAGGCTGCATCATTGATTGAGTGCTTTTGTCAGATCATGCAGTTGGCTGCATTCAATTCGAGCAACGCTTCCGGAGCTTTGCAGTGGGCTCAGTGGCAACCATGCTGGCTCCCTTAACATTGTTTAGATGTTGGCTCGCTTAGCACAGTGCATCCAGTCACCATTTCAAACTGTTAGCAGCTGATGTGACTTCGTTACTCCCTCTTATCCACGCACGTAGACAGGGCCTCGCGAGGATTCAGGCATCTCAACAAATTTCGCTGCACGCCTCCCTTTGAGCCCTTGTACAGGGCTAATGAGGTCGATGAAGCGCTTGTAAGGGCATTGGCTCAACAGATTGAAGATGCTGCTGTTCAATATTCACCAAAAAACTTCAATCTTCTCAGACATGCGTACGGAACGGATACAACGGAGAGCGATTCCATGAACAAGTCCGATGAGCGCGGTGGGTCCGGCCGGACAACAGGAAGTCCCATGCGCTCAATTGCGCCTTGCCTCGGGCCAAAAATTCAAAGCCGTCAGCCAAAGTAAGCGTCACGTCTGGAGGGTTTTACAAGCAACCTCGTCCTCTCTCTCTCACCTCTATCGCCATAAAAACACCGTCCGCGGCCGTCGCCATGTTCAGTCAACGAATTGTCCATTCTGGCCGCCGAATCGCGCAGGCAGCGACTCGATCCACAGTCAGGAACGGCGGCACGCGACGAGGCTATGCCAGAGAGGCCAGCTCCACGTCTGGTGAGTAGGAACCGGAGTTTTCGTGCGATTCTGTTGAGAAGATCTCGCCAAGGTCGGGGTTTGCATATCTTGTTCTCTTCCGCGTGCCTGCACTCAAATTAGCCACGCCCTGCTAACCACGAAATCCTTAACGCTCCTCAGCTTCCTCGAAAACCACCACGGCTCCGCCTCCTCCTCCTCCCCGAAGCAACTCTGGCAGCAGAATTGCCCTCTACGGACTCGTATTCACAACGATTGGCGCAACCGCCACGTGGAAGACCATGACGCTGGCCGGCATGGGGTTCTACTCGGACGAGGATAGCAACGCGCGAGCGGCGGCGCACGCGTCGGCGCATGGCGACGAAACGACGCAGCGTATTGAGGCGACCATCAACGCGCACCCGCTCGTGGCGCAGCTGCGCGCGCGGCCCGAGATGACCGAGTCGCGCCCGCACATGAAGATGCCGTCGTCGTACCGAGAGCGGACGCTGACGGGCGGCGCGCTGCTTGGGCCCGGCAAGATGGTGGTGCCGCCATTCTCGTGGACCGAGGACGGCGGCAAGTCGCTCGTCGGCGTGTCGTACGTCGGTGCTGATCTGTGCGGCCACCCGGGCATCGTCCACGGCGGCTTCATTGCCACCATGCTCGACGAGGGGCTCGCCCGCTGTTGCTTCGGTGCCCTGCCGCACAATATTGGCGTCACGGCCAATCTCAGCATCGACTACCGCAAGCCCATGCCCGCCGACAGCTTTCTGGTGCTGCGGGCCACGACGACAAAGGTCGACGGCCGCAAGGCCTGGGTCAAGGGACATATTGAGCTGCTGCAGGATGAGGGCGCCGAGCCCGTCATCTTTGCCGAGGCCACGGCCATGTTTGTGTCGCCAAAGCACGCTGCGGTAAGTGGGAGGCGACACATGGCGACTTTGAGAAGTGATTGGGTGCTAATACGACCATGATAGGTTATGCCGAAGATTCAGTAACTTCTGCGGTTGCCGGAAGCCAATTTCGGCCTCATCACCCCGGTGCATAATGGAAGAAGCTGGCTGCCATGCGACCCATGACGATGATAATCGCAATGCAACCGACAGGCGACTGCAAATCCATTTTTATATTCGAGATCAAGACAAAGGTGGCTTTTCTTTTTTTTAAAAATTTCAATTTCAATTTCCGTTTCCGTTCCTTCAGCGGGTTTACTTAGATTGCGATAGAGGACACGGGCGCATCTCAAGCCGACGCAAATATAGACTATATACTAGACTGGGGGAGGATGGAGTCGAATAGATGTACAAAGAAGTCATAACGTATGTCCCATCATTCCAGAGCCATCGGCTTTGTACCGCGCAGTCACAGTCGACCATATACTGTATGTATAGTCGCAAAGCTAACTAATGTATAGCACCCTTTTTGTATGTGGGGAGCGGAACCTCGGTGCGTCGGAATGTCGCCATCAGTGCGCCAAATTAGTTTTTTCCTGTTACCTCAGACGCAGTCAAAAATACCAGTCGCTGGAGAATCAAGTTGACTTGTGTGTGTCTGTATTTGTAAGAATATATGTACTGCAGTAATTCAGTACAAGACCTGAGAAAAATCAAACGTTGGATACAGACAGTTTGACCCATACTTTATTGCCGTCATCCCACGGATCTCGTCTTACACCGTTCTGTCTGACGTGCAACCTCCCACCACAAATCTTTGCAGCTGGGAGGCGCATATCACGCAATAGCTAGCCCAAACCCACACAACGGCTCTCCCGTATCCAGGCACAGGAGTTTAATATCCAACCTTTTTTTTTTTTTTACCTCTCTCCTTTCACAATTCAACTTTGCAAATTCACCTCTTCTTCAACCCCGACTCCTCAGCACACAGTTCGTCGCAATGGCTACGTGAGTATAATACGGCCCCTCCTCCCGCGCAGTGACATGCATGCACCACCACCCATTATCATTTACCAGACGTTCGCCAGCTAACAACATGAACCAAAAGCAACATTACCTGGCACCCGTCCCTCTCGCGCGCCGAGCGCAACCAGCTTCGCGGTCAGCGCGGCCTCACCCTCTGGCTCACGGGTCTCTCCGCGTCCGGCAAGTCGACCGTCGCCACGGCCCTCGAGCAGCACCTGCTGCACTTGGGCATCACGGCCTACCGTCTGGATGGCGACAATGTGCGCTTCGGCCTCAACAAGGACCTCGGCTTCTCTGAACAGGACCGCAATGAGAACATCCGCCGCATTGCCGAAGTAAGTCTTCGATTTTTTTTCCTCCCATGTTTTTCTCTTGTTCTGTTGCTCCTCGCTGCGCTCGCTTTGAGCTTGCGAGATTTCAAAGCGCAATTCGAAACTTGCTCGCATTCAAAAGGCAATTTTTTACTAAGACAGCCCCCCAAACAGGTCGCCAAGCTCTTCGCCGACTCGTCTGCTATTGCCATCACCTCCTTTATCTCGCCGTACCGCGCCGACCGCGACTCGGCCCGCGCCCTGCACGCCGCCGTCGCCGCCGGCAACACCGACGAGCCCCTCCCCTTTGTCGAGGTCTACGTCGACGTGCCCCTCGAGGTCGCCGAGCAGCGCGACCCCAAGGGCCTCTACAAAAAGGCCCGCGCCGGCGAGATCAAGGATTTTACCGGCATCTCGGCCCCTTACGAGGAGCCCTCAAACCCGGAGATCACCATCAAGACCCACGAAAACACCGTCGAGGAGTGCGTGGCCCAAATCACAAAATGGCTCTCAGACAAGGGCTACATCAAAACGGCCTGAAATGTATAGCTGGTTTAAGAAAACATACGAGTAAAATTCAACAAGGGATCAATGCCCCAGTCACGTAAATCTACGCAATCTTGCCAAAGCGAATGACACGACACATCACTGCTGAGGTCGGGCGTCTCCTCTTCTCGCATAATGAGAAGCGTCGTAATCAAAACGTCTAGGTAAGCCAGAAAGAAGTCACGGCCCGTAAGCCGATAAATAGACGCCATACAGTACAGTCTTCTCTGCGCTCGAGCTCTGTATCTATGGAAACTCCACCTGGTAGTACACGTACGCCGTGTATTCCTGACCTTCGCCTGTCGCCAGTCCCGCTGCCGCCATCTCTGAGCTGAATGCCGCGTCGTCCTTTGTCACACGTCCGCGCTTGTCCCGTCCAAATGCATTGCCACCTAGGAATGCATATTTGTTGTCAAGTGCGGCCTTGACCTTGTCCGATTGCTTCGTCGTCGTCTGCATCGTGTTAACGTCACTTTGTGCTTAGACCCAATTGATCATCGAGTTGCTCACCTTGATCAGCGCCGATAGATACTCTAGAGGCAGACCGTATCTGAGGACTGCTTCGACGAACACTCGCAATGTCAAGACGTGTATCCAAACCATGACACTTTCGCTCCAGCCGGTACGTCCCATGCGCAGAGCCTCGCCACAGACCTTGCGTTCCTCATTGGTGACGCGATCTAATTCGCGCTGCTCCTCTTCACGGCCACCCTCGACATATTTAAATTGACGAGGCGTCCACTTCTGCTCGCGACATTTTTGCAAGAATTCAGCGCTGTGTTTTTTAAAAGTCGTGACGGCAAACAGGGTGAATTCTTCGTCTTGATCAATCTCAACAGAGGAGCGTGGAACAACCATGGGTGCCAATGTCTCGTATTCCTTGAGGAAGTCTTTCTTGAAGTTTTTGGGCACTGCGATCAGGTGGGTTTCGAGGTATTCGGAGTCGGTAACGAGTAATGAGGGGTCGACAATGGGGGCCAGGGACTTGGTGGCAAGATTTCCCCTAACGAAATTAGAATTCGTTTTGAACCATAGTCGAAAAACTTTACTGTTGTCTTCGCTGCAAAGAGGCAAGATTTGTCTTGACAGCGTTGTATTGGTTGAACTTGGTTTTGACATCGTTGTCGATGGTAACCAGCTCCTTTTGAGGCATTAGCAACAAGATATCCCGAGAGCTGTTTATATATGTGCAACCTTTTGTAGCGTATCAATAAGCTCGCTGAGAGGCTTGTCGGAACGGTATCGAACCTTATTCCAGTTGAAGTTGCTAAGGTAGTGGTCGGTGGGCTCTGCCTCCGCTGTCAGCGCCGTCTAGGACAATGGCAATCAGCAGACCATACTATCGTTGACCATCTTGTAGGACGCCAGTCGGTCCGGGTCGCCATCGAGCACAGAGTGTAGAGAATCGGCAACCTTGGCCACGACGGCCTCGCAGTTGGCTTCGAGCTTGGCCAAGTCGTCGGCGTGCTGTACTAGTCCATCAAGGGTGCCAATCTTGAAGTCGGGAATTTTGAAGGGCACAACATTTCCATTGTCGCCAACTGTGCCACGGAGAGACGACAAGGCATCGTCGCGGTGGCTTGAGTCAAAAGCGCTGAGGGGCAGCGAGACTACGGCGTACTTGGCCGACATCGTACGTCTGGCTCTGCGTGGGCGAGGGGAAGGGGGTTACGGGGAAACGGACAAGGCCGCAGGAGGTGCGAGAAAATTTCGGCTTGAACCTCAAGTTCAGCAACCAAAAGTCAGCGTGCGGAGGATTAAAAGATAGATGGTCCGCGGGTGTAGGAGTCGTATGTCGTCTGGGGCCGAGATGAAGCTTGCCCGAACAATGACGAAGAGCCCGCTGGCAAGTTAGCGCGTTGTGCTGTGGCACAGGCTGTGGCACAACCTGCTGTGGCGGAGGTTCTGTGGCGTCCACCTACCTACCTACCTAGGTACCTATGTGTTCTAACTAGGTACGTTGCCGGCTTGCCAGCTCGACGGTTGGCCGTTGATCATGTTACAATGCTGCACGCACCACCACACCCGCAGATTTCAGCCTCCGGCGGCATTTTTTTGTGCCAGCAGCCATCCGGCTCCCTGTTATCCACCTACCTACCTAGATGCCTAGGTAGGGGTGCTATGTACAGTGAGTGCCTCCAGGTACTTGTGAACAGCATTGTATGGGGTTTTTGGTGGTGATCTGCGCTGAATTGCCTTGGATCCACTGTAGGTACAACCTGCCCAGGTATGGAGTACGGACCTTGGCCAAGGTATGAGCACCAGCCACTCCCAGCCTCAGCAAACGTCCTCATGCATCCCCGCCCGCCGCCCGGCTCCGTTGTAACTCGCAAAAATTGCACAAGCAGTATCCTACCTATTCCATCTAGGCCGGTTCGCTCGGGCTCAAGCTAGTCTCTGGAGGAAGCCTGTAAACAAGGCCCAAGAAAAAATTTCAACCGCAGAACAGCCAAAGCCTAGCCTGACGCTGCTGTTGCTTTTTTTCTGGTCCTCCTGCCTGAGTGCTACACCTACTTCTTCCCGTCACCCCGTCGTTCGTCAGCCTACACCACAGAAAAAAATAACACCACAGCCGCCACCGCACCTATCACCTCGCAATTGACATCTCCTCCCACGCAATGGCATGACTCTCTGCTCGCCGTCGCACATCATCACCCCCCCCAAACCGGGCTACCGTCTCTCATCAGCCACCCAGGGCCCAAGCTCACGTTCAGGCTTCCGGCCTAAGAAGGCTCAGGCCATCATTATAGCGGGGGGCTTCTCGCTGGGCTGTCGCGTTGGACCAGGTTCCATCTCACAGCCATGGCCTCTGTTTCGCGTTGGTTGCTCCCTCCCCCAGTCGCATCGATTTTTCCTCTTGACACTGCCTCGTCATCGCCTACACATCTCGCGACCTGACTGCTTGCTCTATTGTTTCACCCTGCCTAACTTGACGGATCAGCTTCCCGAATCAACTCCAACCCTCGTCTCGCGCCTGCGCCGCCTACAACGTCTCGTCAGCCGGCCGCCGTCCCAAGCCCGGCCCCAGCCGGCATCATTGCGACCCCCAGCCCCCATCAGCCGTCTTCCTCCCACGGCGAGCCTCACTCGGCTCCCGGCTTGCACGGCCGTACGTTGCTTCAGTCTTGTCGCGGATTCGCTCCCTCCTTTCGCTGCACCCCATCTTGCTAACATCTTGCTCCTTCTCATCCTCACTCACAGACATCGCCGATTTCAATGGACAGACGTCATTTCTAACTACCGACGGCCGTGTCAAGAATCCTGTTCCCAGCAAGCTACAGGGCATGGCCGATAACAAAAATGGCAACTTTGCTGTCATGCATATCGATTTGGGCCGACCAGAAAAATCCATGCGCAACGACGCCGCCAAGCGCACCAGTGAAGGAACAGAAGCCGCCGCTCGAATTGCGAACCAGGCTGGATATCAGTCAGTTAAGCGCTCCAAGCTCGCCTGGCCACCTCAGGATGGCGACCCCTCTCATGTTTCACAACCGGCCGGTTTGTCGCCCAAGGAGGCCAAGACTGAACAAGCTCGCCTGCTCACCTTGCTGCGCTCTGTAAATCCTGTCGCCATAACCGAACAGCTTTGCAAAGCTGTTGCCTTTTTCGGGGGCGTGCCTACTGCTCCTGCCCCCGAGACGAGAGCTCAATTCCCTCAAAGCCATCAATCCAACGGTTCAGGCTCGCAATTTGTCTCTTGGTTGGCCGAAATATTCCCCGCTTCCGCAGACCACTCAGCATCGCTCCCGCTGGCTTCTGCTCATCCGAATTCCAATTCAGCGAACCGGACACTGGGAGTATCGACTCAACCACCGCCACCATCACAACAAACCGCGCAGCCAGATAGCAATTCGAGTGTTAAACCCACTGATGCGACCGTCGACGCCGCATCGGACCCCAACGCACCTGTCGCGCCCGTCAAGAGAGGCCGCGGACGGCCGAAGGGCAGCAAGGGCAAACCGAAAGTAAAAGATCAGCCTCCTAACGATGCCGATCCCATGGCGCTGCAAGGCTCTCAACCTCCCAACACCACTGGTCCTTGGTCCAGTCAACAGTTGCAGCCGTCACAGCAAGGCACACCAGGCCAGTCAGATGCTGGTACGCCAGGAAAGAAGCGAGGTCGCCCCAAGGGCTCAAGGAACAAGCCTAAAAACCCTGCTCCTAGCGGTGCAGAAACTGCTCCGAGCCAAGACGCGGACGAGTCCCAAGATTCTTTCATGTCTCCCATAGGTCAAATGTCCAGCTCCATGTCCTTGACCCAGGATGGCGCTCGGCCGTCCTCTGGTCCTCTCGGTCTTTCCAGTATGATTGAGCCAAATTCTGCGCAAACACACAGTGGCTGGACCACCGTAGGGATGCAGGCCGGCCAAGACGGGAGCCCTGCACCGTCTCGCAAGCGCAAGAACGACAAACAACAGCCCGACCTGTCGGTCAGCAACACAAGAATACCCCCGGGGATTCACCAGGACGACGCTCCCGCCACAGACTCTAATGGCAAACGAAGGCGCTTCTCTAAGGATGGTGCCCCCTTTCCACAAATGGGCGGTCAGCCTGGGATGGCGTCGTCCGAGTCGCCGATCCAGAATACCAGCTTTCAGAGCCCAACTCAACAAATGGTGGCTTCCGGCAGCTTTGACCCCGCACAGCAGCCGCCTCATCGAAAACCTGCCGCAAGAAGTCAACCTCCTAGTCGCCTTGGACAGCCTCAGCCACAGCAGCAGCAGCAGCAGCAGCAGTTTAGCCAACAATCAGGACAGCCACCGCAGCCGCAACAGTCACCTTTTCCTCCGCAGCCCAATCAACCACAGCAACAGGCCTTTGGACAGCAGCCAGGGCAACATAAGTCACCAGTCGTAGGAGGCAATCAGCCACAACAACCTTCTGGCGTGATGGACTTGTCAGGAAACGGACTATCACGCAGCGTCATGTACAATCAGCAGCAGCACCAACAGGCGCAGCAGCTTCAGCATTTTATGAACCAGCAACGGCTTTCCGTGGATATGAATACGGCAGCGAACTCGTCTACTCAATTCGGCCAGGCTAATAACGGCGGTAAGAGCCCAATGTTTCAAGGTCACATGGTTCGCGCTCCGTCGGGGGATGCCGCCATGCAGCATCCGCAACGACCATCACCCGCAAGCCAGAATGCACAAATCACACAAGATGGCTCTCGTATGGGACAGGCTGGCTTCGCGGGGCGGGCTCCGCCAGTGACTTCTGCAGGAGCGTCGCCATCCATGAACAGCCCTTTTCCGCCCAACTATGGAGCACGAACCTACATGAGCATGAACTATGGTGGTATGAGCAGTGCACGAGTCCCCGATCCTTCAAATCACCCTTTTGGCGGCTCTGCGGGCCAGATGGAGACCATGAATAGTACCGAGCAGGCCAATATGCCACATCGCATGTACCAATCGATGCAACAGCAGCAGCAACGACAATGATTGGTGCGGGATGATGCTTGGATCGAAAACGTCATCAACTGTACATTTAACTTGCGATGGTGTGTTTTCAGCGCCTGGGAGGGAAGCGATGTTTGTCCTAATTTATATTTCAAGTTGTTTGCACAACAAAAAAAGGGGGGTCACGAGATACCATCTTTGCTGTTATTCTCCTTGCTTTTTCTGCCGGGGCGTTATCCTTCTGCGTTTCTGAGTCTTTCCGAAACGGGGGAGTGGCTGATGTTCGCAAAAGATGTCGTGGCTGATTATACTATATGGGAATTGAGAGGGATAGGAACATTGCGCGTATCACAAGACGTGTGGCACAAAGAAGAGGGCAATTTGCTATCGATGGATTTGAACAGGTCACGGTGCCTTGTTTATTTTATGCACGGTGGATTTTCTTGAGATATCTCGATACATATTATGCATTGACGCGACAAATAACATCATGTTGAACACTTTGACCCTGATGACTGCTTCTCGTAGTATCAATGTATCAATAGATGTGTACGCTGCTCAATTCGGTTGTGCACACTCAACATCTGACGAAGCTGAACGTCTCGCTCAGATATGCACCGAATTGAAAAACGAAAAAGCAAAAACAAGTAATTTAGAGGTCCGTGTTTGAATGTCCACTTGATTCCAGGTCTCGACACCGAGAATATCGTTTCAAGTCTCCCCACTTCCACAGCTAAATACTACATACAGAGTATACGAGAGAAGAAAAGCTCTAGCAAGAAATTCTTGCATGCAGCCAGAGCAACAACACCTTTGTCAGAGCATCGTCTGAACCTAGCAAGCCCCCGCGTCTATCAGATGACATAACATAAATCGACAACGCTAACATGATGTGAGAAAAAAAAAAGATTCAAATCCCGAGCCTAACCAACAACAGAGAGTATGTTTTTGATCTGCGGTGATGTGGGTGCCATGCTGTTTATATCCAAGCAATGAAAACAAGAGATGAGCTAGTGAGAATAGAGAGTGTGTATGCAAACACAGGAACGTTGAACCATAGAAAATAAATGTTGGAATGTTTCCTCGAAATGTGGCCGGGATGAGAAGAAAGCAAGTAGAACGCCGATATATGCGGACATGGCAGTTTTCAAAGTGGTGGTGAAACGAGAATGGAATAGCGGGAAAGCCCACAAGAACTCGTTTTCGGACGAGGAGGGGACAAAGTAACGCATCAACGTAGAGGCTTCGCTTATTCTTCGGTGGTGCAAAACAGGCATGTGAGGATGAGTTTGCCAATGAGGAGCTACTACTACATGGCTCTACAGTACCACTCCGGACGTTTGTCGAGAGCAAACTGTTTGGGCACGGCGCAAGACGTCGCTTCGGCATGACCAATCTAACAATTCTTTTCAAGAATCGATTTAGTCCGCATCGTCTTCTGCGGCACCAGCGCCGGGCGGCGGTCGGACAGATTCTGGGTTGTGTCGTCCATACCACCACTCATCTTCCTCTTTTATACCGTCTTGGCGAATGAGGTCGAGCATGACTTGCTGATTGCGCTTGATGTCGTGCGTGCGCGGGACAATCTTGCGTTCCAGAATGAGGGCCTCGGCGGTCGTGAGCCAGATCTGCTGCAGAACCGGCAGGTCGTGCAGAATCTTGTCGGCCTGCTCGGCGTCCAGAGGTGCCATTGGCACGTCGGCGGCCAAGCTTGTGTGGAAGACCCAGTTGGGGAAAGGGTTGCCGGAGCCAGTGGCATCAATCGACGCTGACGTACTGCGCACTCTATGAAGGGACTCGCTCAATGATGAGCGATGCACAGAACGGTCACCGCTTGTCGACTTCTTCCGTCCAAACCCACGTAGCCCTGCGAGTCGGGCTTTGGTTTGAGTTTCGGCGATGGGCTCCTTTGTGAGACTGCTGTACCACACATCGACCGCTGCTCTTCGGCTGTTGTATCCCTTGATTTCCCACAATCTCTCAACCTGTCGCAGACCACCCAGACACAAAATAGCAACGTGCACATCGTCAGCAGGCTTGTCGCGCAGGTAACCACGAAATGATCTCTCGACACGACCGACATATGTTGGTGGTCGCAGACGGCGACAGAACGATGATATTACTAGGGGAAACACTTCGTGCACTCGTAAAAGTGTTTGGTCGTCGTACATATCCATGATCTCCTTCTCAATGGGGTTCAGGGTGTATGGTTCACGTCGCAACCCGTGGCCATTATTCTTGGTAATGTGTTCCAGATGTAATTTACGGTACGTCTCGAAGAAGTGGAAGATGGTGAAAAGTAGGGGAATGAGTCGACGCCGCATAATTTCGTGTTGTGGTGCAAATGCCTTCTGTTGGGCCTCGGTTTGCTGAAGAAAAATGTCCTTGGTGATCCAGTCACACATCAAATAGGCCAGTTTGGCGGCAACATGCAGACGATGCCATATGCTGCAGAGAGAGTGAAAGTTGTAGTCGGCGGAGTCATTAATCGGGTATAAGCGGAGAGCGTAAGCGGGAACATGGTTCTCGACGTGGTATCGCACGATTGGGCCCTCGTTGAGGGTGATGAGGGTGTGCCACGGCTTCGACGTGAGACGTAGATTGAGGACATCGGTGAGTGGGAGGGCTGAGACAATTTGGATTTGCAGTTCGTTAGGTAGGGCGAGGAAGAGCTGATAAAAGGGTATGGCGCTGGTGGCAGGATCGGTAACGGTAGCAGTAGCAGGTTGAGGGACGGAAACAACCTCGGGTACAACGGCAGGAAGAAAGGCAGGGACAGCAGGTTTGGAGTGGCGCAGGGATACTCTCTGTCTGATGCTGAAGAAACGGCTCTTGTCCTTTTTCAGCTCCGCAGGTTTGGCCTGAGCATCGGTCTTCTTGGATTCGCGCAGAGGTAGAATGAAGGTTGAGGAAGGTAGTGTCGCTCTGGCAGACACATTTGTTGTGGCAGCTGCTGATGACTCGGCTGTCTCGGTTTGTGTCTGGTTGGCGTTGAGCTGATTTAGCTTTTCAAAATAGCGCTTCGAGGCGAACTCTGTGATGTGAGGGGGGTCCATAGCGACGGAGCGCGCCGGAGTATGCGTTTCGGCCATGACGGTTGGTTTGACGTGACGTGTCGATACCGAGATATCCGTTGAGCGAGCGACTAGGTAAGAAATTTACCCAAAAGAATGCTGGATCAAGAGTGTGCGTGTCGCTAGGGGTGACGAGTAGCCAGGCGTTGGCCGGCTCGAAAGCGAATCCACGTTTCGCTTCGTTACAGTTGAAGGCGGAGAACCACGGTGATCATGTTGTCCCTCCGCAGGGAATTACTGTTTCGATGGCGGTAGAAGAAGGATCGACTGCGATAGATCCAGGAGCGCAGAAGGGCGGCTGCAGCGAAAGTATTCAGGAACTGGGCTGGCAACGATGATTGATTCCTCTGTTCGGCCAACGACGATGTCGGGCCGGGATTGTGTTGTCGTGCGGGGAGAAAGAATGGTCGCAACGATGGCTGGCAGATTTGATGGTGGTGATCAAGGTGGCCGTCGAGCGCCGAAAAGGGACGTCTGATTGAAAAAATAAAACCAGAAGAGAGAGGCGAGAGTTGAGGAGGGTAAGAGGAGAACCGAGGGCCGGGTGAGACTGGAGGAACAGGTCGCTTTCTATGGAAGAGGGTGTGGCGAATGAAGCGTACGTCAGGTAGTACCGAGAGAGACGAAGAGAATGCAGGCGTGGAAAGAATAGAGCCTCGTTGGAAAATCGGTGTTTGTTGGCGGATGTGAAGATGAAAGAGGACGACAGCAAGCGAGGCCCCCGAGCCGTTTGGTGGTGAAATGCGTGGAGTGTGTGGACGGCGGAGACTGGGACGGGGCTAAAGAAGACCGAGAAAAGCAGCCCAGTGGGAGTGGGCGTGGAGTGGGCGTCGGCGAGGTGGGCGCGCTGGGGAGAATGCTGGCAAGGAAAAGATGGGGGTGGACAAAGGGAGTGGGTATATATGGCGGGAGTGCTCTACCCAAATACCAAATACCAACTACCTAGTTAGCAGTGCTTCCGAAAATGTCGCGGAAACTCGCAGTCGACTCGGCCTTTCCAGGACAATTGCCACCGAGACTTGTCCCAGTCGAACGATCTTTGCGGAACGTAAAGATCGTGCCCAATATCACGATGATGGAAAAGGGGGGTGGCATCACGTTTACATATATTCGCACAGGACCTCTTCAGCGGGCGGCGCGCGCAGAGTGTCTTTCCAGTACGGCCGTTAGCCGGCGTAATAGTGGGGGTGCGTCGAGGCGGCCCCCCCAGCCCAAAGCCCAGAAGAAAAGAAATAGGCTCCCTCCGCAAAAGTACCCGTCTGCACGGCCGCCCAGCAAAACGGTACTTGATTATGGGGCAGCAGCGCAGTGCGGTTGTATGCGGAGTACACTTCCGGCTTGACCAGATTGGGGCGTTCCGGCCGCGTCTACGGCCCCTCCCCTTCTCCTTGCTTTTTTTTCTGTTGATATCACTGGTTTGCTGGACTACCAGAGCCGCCTTTTTTTTTCTCGAATTGGATGCAGTGCTTCAAGTGCCAAGCGGCACCTATGCGACGTTGGGGTCCTCTGGGCCGATATTTAGCGAAACAAGCCCATTCCTTGTTGGTCCTGCTCTGCTGATATCAGTTTACGTCTTGCCGTCTTGCAGCGATATTTCCTTTCCCAGCTGCCAGCTTCTGGTTGATACGCTGTCGTTGCTAAATAGTACTTCTTCACAGCGCTACTGGTGATTACCTTACTGGTTTCATGCGTATCTAGGCTTGACTCCGTCAACGACTCGGAGTATTATTAATGGTTTTCCTTATTACACTCCACCAATGCCACCCGCTCTGACACCACCAAGCTTGCACGTGCGGCTCTTTATCAACAGACATTGTTTCTGCCTTGAGAAGCAAACGCCTTTTTTCTTCGATGAAGTATCCGTATATGACCAATACATAGCATGTTGTCTCGGGACCCAGTTCTTAGATATCTTGCCTAGCCCACCGCTCCGCCTAACTAGAGCAAGCTCTGATGTGATATCTGCATCTTTTTCACCCACTGCCGACATCGGTATCAAGACTTCTTCACATTCGTATCCAGTAATTATATACACACAGTACGTTCAATGTAAAACTTCATCACAGTACATCGAGATAATCGTAGTGTTGCAGCCACCTCGGCATCGTCACATGGGCTCAATGGCTCCATTTCAAGTCTTTACTTGGACATTATCAATCACAAAAGATGCGAAGCGCATTTCGTAGATAGGCCAAGCCTTACCGGCTCCATGGATGGCTTCATGCCTTGGAAAATCTTTCACTGATAGCGACTTTCCTCTTCTGCTGCTATATCCCCGTCGTCAATCCGGGTTCACAATCTCCAATTGTCCTACCCTGGCGCATCACAAAGATAGAACGGCAGGGTAGGGTCTCTCTCAGATATCGGGTGAACAGTACGTACCCCGGCACTGCAATGCCTCTACCTGATAATACCGCTGTCACCTCTTTACTCTCTCACTGGCTCACATACGCGGCGTCTCGGCCGCTATTTACACGGGGTCTTACACAAGTCACCTTGATCAAACGCGGCGCCCCATCCAGCCAAGAGAAAAATTCAAAGTTCAAACGTCCTGTCGGCCCGGCTTCCTGCAGCCTCGTACGCCTCCAATCGTTATCAGACAAAAAAGTGCCTGCCCGCTCCCATCGGATCCATCCATGCCTGGGCATGCTTTCTTGGTCTTGTTTTCCCGGAACCCTCATCCGCAGTGCCCTAGCCTCACCAAAGAACAACTAACCCTGCCCAACCTGCTTCTTTCTTCACATTCCGTTTTTTTTTTTTTTTGCTTGCCTCCTGCGCCAGCCTACTCGAATTTTTTACCGGGGACATCGGCCCTGTTCTTCGCGCATGGGCCCCGAAAAGGCGCCATTTCGTGGAGCCGCAGATACCATCCTGTTTATCTATATACATCAATATTGATGTTGCATGCAGCGTTCCTGATAACAACACGCGCACAATTGTATTGCAAACGATAGATTCCCACACACACACACACACAATCGAATAAGTCTAATAATAATAACGATATGCCAGGCAGAAATAAGGGCGACAGCCACCCTGCGCGGCCCTACTCCGGTCATTCTCCGCCAACCCCCAAAACTTGTGTCTCAAGCACCGTAGATCTGGTACAAGTGCCAGAGTGCCCTGTTGGCGCTGTACGACCAAGTTTGAGCCCAAGCTGACTGTGCTATGTATCGTAATCAGCTTTACAGATTAGATCATTTTCTTTTAGATCTTCTTCCGACTGGCCTCGCTTGATCGGCCGACCAAAAACTTTTTCGCTCCAGGGATCGACCGGTATTAAATCATGCCCGGAAAAGCGGCTAAGAAACGAAAAGCGCCAGAGTGCAACATCATTGTAACCCTCCCTTTATCTCAGGCTCAGGCACACTCGAGAGACATTTGTCCTGGATCAGACATGTGCTGTCCTCTAACCCCGCCACGCGGGTGACAAAACAGACCGCCGGTGCTCAAGCAGACGTGTTAGCAATAGTAGTGCATTTCCCTACGCACAATCTATCATAAAATCTAAAATAAATATGATAAAATTCTTTATATCATTCTCTATATAGCAGACATCTTAGATAGGGATACACTTATTAGTTCGTTCTTTTTTTCTATTATTAAGAATGAGCCCTACTCTGTGTGCCGACGACCTGTTTTTGTCACCCGCGGGCCCGCCACGACAAGCTCTGCTAGGTTTGCAATTTTACTATTTACTGTAGATCGCCCCGGAATATTTTGTATCCCGACAGTATGTCGTCACATCGCTTCACGAGATCGATACGAGCGCTTCGCCGCTTTAACATGCAGACTTCAATGGCTGCACAAGATTACCCAACTCTACTTATTATGTTAGAAGCACAGCCAAGTAACAAAGTGTCACGGTTCGTATCCAGATGAGGGACAACTGATTCGTACGCTGCACTGCTTTTCCTGCTTAGTACAAATTTCGGTCTCGACGGCGTAATTAATTTCAGCAAGGCGACCGGCCTCTACTTTCCCCATCGACATGAATTACGCCTGATCAACTACAAATCGACGTCACGAGCACCGTCTCCCATGCCACCATGAAGTTGAATTGCCCCAACAATGCCGTGCTAGCTCAACGAGAAGCAAAACAACTAGGTTCATTGCGATGCACCATGGTCCATGGGGGCCTCAACTAGTTCCAAACCGAAATGTTCAAGACACCTGCCGGCATTTCTCATCAAAGACAAGAACAAGACCTTGTCCGTGCTAGCCATTCATCGGCACTTGATAAATTCGAGCAGCCCGTTCCTCTCGCGTTTCATTGCCATCTTTGTACCCGCATAATCGCCAGTGTCAACTCTACCGGAGAACTCTATTTACTCGAGCCCTCCTTCCTCACTTAACCCGGCACAAGGCACGCAATAGGCGGGGAGCACCTCTGCTCTATACAGACTTGTCGCGTTAAAGGCAGCGACGCACATTCGCAAATATATCTCATCTGCAAGTACCTTTGCGGAAGAAGCGCCAGTGCGGCATTGCTCTACGAAGTACATCAATCGTCAGAATCCCCTGCATTGGTGATTTCGGCGAGACCTTTTTTTTTGGGCCTTATTACCCATGGGGCATGTGCCATCTGTTTGCTGCAATGATAGTGTACCATGACACCAAGAGAAAAAGAGTACTAAATTGATCTGTCCCTGCCAACCCCAACATTCACTTGACACCAGGAGATATGCTGTAAGACCGTGGTCAGCCTAGTGTGACCCCGGGCGCAAGAGAGGAGTCACCATGAGCTGCTTTGCATAACTTCAAAGTACCTGAGTGTGACAAAAAGGAGTCTCATAATGCGACGGGCGATGCTAGTGTTGGGTGCATCCAACTTGCGTGGCAGCAAATCATGACGGTGTTAGTGAGGCCGTTATTAATGATTTGCTAAGGAAGCTACTAGAGCAGACTATAAATCATTCCCAGGCAGTACGTTTCCGTTGCCGCAGTCAGAAGAATGAAGCTAGTACAAAAGAAAGAACTCAGTATCGACTGCTCTGCTTCCTTCTGGAATACGTATAGAAGGGGTGCGGTCGAGACTGGTAGGGTCAAAGCATGGCTTCGAAATAGCTGCTTCATGTTCTGGCCATTGAACAGTTGTCGGCGCTGCAGTCCGTGAGTTTCTGCCGTCTGCTTCTTGCCTCGCGTCGATATTTCGACTTATGCACGGTCGGCCTCGGCACAGCTGCAATCTACTCTCGACAGTTACGCAACGGCCATGAGGGCTACATCCATCTGACGGTCTGCGCACGGAGGAGTAATAGAAAAGGGCCGATCGTGGCGTGATTACTAAAAGAATCATAGTCTCATCGTGCGTTGCAATATTAGCCCGGCGGTCTCGTTACATGCAGAGGAAATGGACTTGGCAGGTGACGTTAGAGCCGATGGATCTAATTTCGGAGATGGCGACCTTAGTGATGTTTGGTTGTGGCTCGTGAATGGCTCGACGGAAAGGTCCCAATCCTATGTTTGTCCTCGCAAGCGTATCGGTAAAGGGGTGCTCTGTACGAATAGACAGCAAGAAGAAGAACCTCGTGGAAGCTGCCGTCGGATGGCATCCAGTACGTAATGAGCTGCAATGGTTGTTCGAATTGGGCAACTCCTGACATGCGTCGGCTAAAGCTGGGGTAACGAACGAAAAGGCGCCGCTTCTCTGGGGTATGCAGGGCTCGGTCCGTAAAGGGACGAGAATAGAAGGGCACAAGCCCAATCTGTGGAGATGAGATTCGATTGGCTGTGCAATGCAGGTCTCGGCATCCGTGGAAACAAAGGCATTGTGTTGTTCTTGTCGCAAAGCGACTTGAACTCGTTGTTTGTGCAAGGTCTTGTATGTATGCAGTTTAAAAAGAAAAACAATCAAAGTTCTGATTGCCAACTGAGTTATGATTCAAGCCCGTCCGGGCCGAATGACCTCGCTGCTAGTCTCGATCTTGGGGGCCGCATGGGGATATTCGCGGCGGTATTGAGGGGTGAGTTGACTTGCCCTGGGCTAAGCGGGGTCATTTTGACGGTGCTGCCTTGGCGGCTGAAAGTGAGCCAAGCTCACGCAAGGTCTGTTCGTAAAACAGCACAAAGGAAAAACAACGGTCATGACTTTATTTGTCTCGGAGGAACTGCTGAGGGAGAGGAAAGATCATGGGACGATACATTGTATTTCTTTCATCATCCCATTGTTCAGCGGTGCAGCTGGCGGCCCGAGTGTTCGAAATTGTGCTGAAGCAGACAGCGGCTGGCTCATATCGACACGCCCGAGATGCACCACTGCGGGCTGTGTGGGGTAAAGAGTTTCTGTTGTGGTGAGAGCGGGCGGCGGACGTAGCGTTTTGTGTAAATAGTTCAGACTCGGTAAACGACCGGCGTGGTGCGTGAGGCGCGGGTATCGCGAAAGGAAGCGAGGCGGCGGCGGTGGTGGTGATGCAACGTAGAGGAGGTCTCTCGGTATTTGGTATAGGTGACTTTCAGCCTAAGTCTCTTGAATCTCCCAGGAATTCGGTCAAGCAGTGCGAACAAACATGCAAGGAGCGCCTCATCAGCCAACGGAATCGAGCACCTGCAAAACAGCCATTTAGGCGTTTCTGTGATTTGCAGCTGGCAGCCAAAACCTGATTTGCAGCTGGCAACTGGCAGCCAAAACCTGATTTGCAGCTGGCAACTGGCAGCCAAAATCTGATTTCCAGCTGGCAACTGGCAGCCAAAATCTGATTTCCAGCTGGCAACTGGCAGCTCGCCTATTTAAGCCAGCTGAGGTTCAAACGGCGCTCAACTACCTCGTTACTACATCTTGTTCGATTTGCCCCGTATTCGAAAGCCTCACTTTCTGTTTCATCCTCTTGTGCAAATCACATCGCCATGCCAAACCGCCAAGGTAGTCATCACATCACCAGACAGACTTGTTTCAACCAACACGCGCAGTTCCTTCTGTAACCGCTGGCCCGCCACGCCCGTCTCTGGCCTCCCAATCACATCAGCCCGTTTGGTGCCATTCATACAGCCAGCCTACCAGCGCATCCCCTCTCGTAATAATTTTTCTCTCCACCACTCCCCGCGCTGCCGATGCGTCCTGTCACCCCCTTGAACTTGGTTTGACAGTCAAGCTCTTTCCACAAGCCCTCGTGCATGTACCCATTGACTCACTACCAAAAGCAACACTCCAACCCGAACCTGCTTCTCTCTCTGATCCCAACACCACCACCTCAACCACGTCCCTCGCCCCCTCATCGTGACGCCTTTTGAGCTGCGGCCACTCTGCACAAACCACGCGCACGCAGTTTTCAATATTTCTTTCGGACCGCCCTAGTTGTACGACTGTCGATCTGCCGTGCCCTCTAACCAAAAGTCCCCCGGCCGTTCGTCATTACGCCGTACTGTTGCTGATTTTATGCGCTGCACCTCGTACAGCCTCTCGGCCAACCTTTGTCCCAGTACAACCCAATCTGTATACTGCTTTGCATCCCACACCTTTTTTCCTACGGACATCGTTTATACTTGACTTGACTCCGAACCCCGCGCCCGTCGTCGCTCACCCCCCACGAGCCTGGAGCTCCTCACCCACCCCCGCCGCGGTTGCAGTCAGTCGCGGTCATGGATCCGGCGTCGGTCGCTCCTCGGTCTGATGCCACCGAGTCGGACCATCTACCGGCCATCGCTACAGCTCACCTGGCCCGCTTCGAGTTTAGTGATGAAGGAACAAAAATACTCATGGTGGAGTGGCAGCCTGAAGCAGAAGCTACAGAAGTCGCAGAGGTTGCGAAGTCCGACTCCACTGATGTTGCAGACGACGCTGCCGCCGCGCCGCATCCCGACTCCGGTGCCGTAAACTCTAAATCGGAGCAGCCTCGCGAGGCCCCGATTCCCGACGCTGATGCCGGTTGGGAAGTTTCTTGGCCGGGGAAATCTACTCTGCTGCCCGCGCGAGACGCAGATCAAGACGGCAGCAATCGTCGAGTGTACTTTCTCCTACCCGAGGATGTTCCCGTGCCGCCAACCGTCACCATTACTCGTCGCGGCCGCTCCAGCCTGATAGTGAAGCCACTGCCTGCTATATTCCCACCAGGCTTTGATGCGGAACCTGGCTCGCGCGGTGTGCTTCACACTCTATGGGCAAAGAAGCGTCTGCGAGAACTCGATCGTGAAATGGACGCCGAGATGAGGAACAACGCCGAGAGCATCGGTCTTCAGATGGCCTACTCCGAAAAGCAATGGATTATCGAAACCTTTCTGAAGCCTCCAGCCCCCAAAATCACGCTGCCGCTTTCGCCCATATCTCCCATATCTCCCATATCCCCAATTTCTAGCCGACTCGGTGAGAAACTCAAAGGATTGCGCTTGGCCACGTCACCAGACGACCTGCTACCTAGTCCAACCGGTATGCAAACCATGTATGGAAAAATGCTGCACACTAACATCTCGTAGCCAATACGTTTACGGGATCGAATCCTCCCTCGCTCACATTGTCACCCGACAGAAATGACATTGCCATTCCCTCCTTTGCGACCATGTCACTCAACGCCGCTGCCCGGAGCGGCATGGACCCCGTTCAGAGCCATCAGACAGATACAGAAGACGACCTGTTTGCCTTGCCCATCAGCCCACGCAGTCCAGACATGAAGAGAGGTCAATTCGGTGTGTTTTAGCTTTCCTCCAACAAGAAAGAGAAGAATGGCAACAAACTAAGAGATGGACTGCGGCTCGGTCTCGGCTCAGCGTGTAATGATTCCCATGAACGGTGTTGCCCTTCTTCCAAGCTCCCCGTGTTCTACTCAAAGCTCCAATTGAATAATGTAGCACGCGCCTCCCTTATGGGGGCACAATCTGCTAACTAGAAGCGGCACGCGGTCAGGCTGTGCGTGGACGAGAGAATGATGATGAGAGGCCTGCGGAAGGCAGTAGAGCTGAGCCAAAAGCAAAGATGTAGAGCTGATATACTAATTTCCGGGTATTGAATATAAAAAAAGAGTTTAGAGACCGCTGTCATGATATGTACACAGATTCGCAAGATCAGAATAGTTTAGCCTGCACGCTACCAAATCAAAGACGCATCGTCTGTGCCCAGCACTTGAGCACTTTTCCATTTCCAACACGCTCATGATTTTCCCCGTCTACCTCCATCCTCCCACCCGTCCCTCATCCCATCTCTCCTTCCTCTCCTGCCTCTGATAATACAGCACCTTGGCCTCGCGATAGCCCTTGACCCACTCCGCTACCTCCCGCTCCGTCAGCAGCTCCCCTCCTCCTCCTCCTCCCGCGCCCTCCCCGCGCCCACCGCCGCCGCCGCCGCCCTCCAGGAAGCTGTCTTCCATGGCCTGACACACCTGCGCCTGCTCCTGCACGCCGTGCGCGAGCGCCTGATACAGCGCCGCCGGCGAAAACGGCGCCAGCGCGTGGTCCATGTCCGACTGCCGCTGGCGCCACTGCCGCTCCAGCGCGTGCGCCGACAAAAGCTGCGCCTGCGTCGCGGACCGCGCCCCCGCGAGCCGAGCGCCCATCCCACTCAGCTGCGCTCCGAGTGCCGCGTTTGACGACAGCGCCGACGTCAATGCCACGTGCGAGGCCGTCAGTGAGGGGTGCGCCGCGGCCGGCGCGTGCGTGAGCGCCTGCAGCAGCGCGGGGCTGGCCAGGATGGCGGCCAGGTCTTGGATGCTGTGAAGCATGCAGCGTTAGCCCTCATGCCATGTGTCGTAAAAATCACAAAAAAAGGAAAGAGAGAGAGAGGAAGAGAGGAAGGCGGGGGTGATGATGGTTTAGCAAAACGCACGATTTATCTTGCAGCATCTCTGGCAGCCAGCCCGCGCCAGGGTCAGGCATCGGCTGCGGTACGTCCAACTGCTGTTGCTGCATGCCCGCCTCGGCGTCCACTGCCTGCACGTGATGCAGCTGCGAAGGCTCGTTCGTGCCGTTGTTGCCGTACCCCGGCGGAGGAGGCGGAGGCGGCGGAACGGAGCTGCTGCTGCCCACGCCGCTGGGCGTGGCCATGCGGCTCGTCTCATGGCTGCCTGGTTTCGGGGGCGGCGCAGGCGGCGTGGCGCAATGGTCCGGGTGGTATCCAGACATTCGGGTAGTCTGTGATTATGTATTTTCCAGTATATTTCTGAGCCTAGAATTAAAATATGGGAGGGGTGTGAGGGGCTGGCGGATGCGCGTTGAACGTAGAGAGGTCTTGTTTGAGGTTGAATGTTGGATGTTGGACGTCGGACGTCGACACGCCGCCTATGGCGTACGTGGGGAGGCTCCGGAGCTACGTGTAGTGACGTGTGCAACGCCAGCCTTTCGTGCCATTAACACGGCCCACGTAAATGATTACTCAATACCTTATGTAAATGGACGGTTCACAACAGAAAAGGTACTTGCATTCTTTCCTTGCGTATCACGCCGTTTGTCAAATTAAAGGGGTTTAAGTGCCGCACAAAATAAATGTTAACAATTACATGATTCCAGACTGCGCTTTTCCAGTTGCGCAGAAGATTACGATCCAATGTCTTCTTTTCACATTCTCACACGCTTAACTTCTACCCGTAACCTAATCAATGCATCCTGAAATGTATAAAGAATCACTCTTCTTCGAGCGAAGCGAAGTCCCCTAAGACTTGACGGACCAAATGTCCCGTGACCAACCCATCTCCCGCAGCTTCTTGCTGCTGGCACCAGTCGCGCGCTTCTCGCCCGTGGCAATGGCCAGAGCCTTGCTGCACGCCGCCAGCGCCTCAACCAGCTCCGTCATGCGCTTCGTCTCCAAGAACACGGACGTCAGGTCGGAGCTACGCTCTGCCACCACTGTCGCCAGCTCCATACTCTCGAGCAGGTTGTCGCGCGACAGACCCG